TAATGATTAACTCACTGTAGGAAGGGTTAAAAATAGCACTGGGTAATTTTGGATGTGCCCTTTAAATGTCTTTGTGGATAAAAGTAAAATCAAAATGTACAATTTTGCATCTGGACTTAAAGTATTTTGTCCCTTCTTGCTTTTCCAGCTATTATATGTATTTTGCTTATGCAGAAGTCTAAAATAAGCTAAAGTGCTAAATTTAGATGCCCTTCAGAGCTATAAATAGCACCCAGAAAAACATTTCAATAATGTTCTGCATGTGAGAACAACGATAAGTTCAGAAGTTTAGGTATTACGTAGATGTGACAGGATCAAAAATGCTGATGAAATAGAATGTAGAAATACAATTCTGCATTTACATATAGAACAAGACAAAATAACATTCAAATATTTGTTTGCCATAAGGTCATTTTGAGGGGTTTTGACTATTTTTGTAGAGCTTTAATTTTTATTTATTTATATTATATTTATGGTTACCTGCATTCATTTGAATACATTTTAAATGTAGTATGCTAAATATATAATACATATTTAGTGCCATTAAATGTCTTTGCCATCAATGCAAACGGCATGATTCATGCAATCAACTGAACACTAAAAATGAATAAATGTGATTTATAAATATTTATATGTACTTATTAATGACACTTATCTCGATGTTTGCCTAACCACGTGAGTACTTGAATAACCTTCTAAAATCTTAAAATGCCTGGTCATCTATTAAATTGTAACACAATAAAGGTTCTTCATCAGAAGAAGCTTTAACATCCAAGGAACATTTCCCTTTGCACTAAAGGTTCTTTATAGCAGAAAAAGGTTCTTCAGATCATTCAAATGTTCTTCACACAAAGACAAAATTGGTTCTTTTAAGAACCGTGTCTTGAAAGCAGACAAGTAGACAGCAACACTGTAAAGAAGGCATTTTGCAGCACACTTCTAGCATGATTAGTGTTTATCTTTGAGGAAATAACTTAAATACCAAGTTTATTTCCATGACAGTTGTTTGAATGTCACACATTTTTGCAACATGGCTAACTCATTTGATAACTTCTCATAAAATGGTTTGAGTCACACAGATCACTTGCGTAGATGTTACGATCGATGCAGTGTGAGACCAGGGTTAGCATTCCCTAAAATAATCATAATAAGTGTCAGCCTGTACATTTGCATTTTAAGGGGGCTCAGCCCCCAATGAGGGTATAATATATATATATATAAATAAAATAAAATAAAATGTTTGACTAATAGGGGTGGTATACTAAACTTATATACTAAAAAGTGTTGTATCCCACTGTATTGCATAGATAGGTATAACATATAACTGAATAAGCCAAATACAAATCTTCATGATCTCACACACACCTGTTTACTTTCCCTCCTTGAACTTTAACTTCAATTTAAGAATAAATTATATTTAGAGGTAACCAGGGGCCTCATTTATAACAGTTGCGTACGCACAAAACCAGCCCTGAAAGAGGCTTAGGCTACGCCACTTCCTGCGCAAAAGGTGGGATTTATAAAAACAAACTTGACGGGAAAATTTGCATACCTGCACGCAGGGGCGAGTCTAGGATTTTCATTTTAGGGGGGCTCAGCCCCCAATGAGGGTATAATATATATATATATATATATTATAACAATCTATCGATAAACACACACCTTGTCCTCTGTTTCTTGCTCTGCGCGGCAGCGGTCTGCGGATTGAAAAAGAATGCGCTGAAAGACGGGGAGGAGCCGATCGAAGTCTGCTGCTGTTTTCAGATGAAATTTAGGGGACTGAGGCGATCACGAATTCGTGTACAGTTTATGGAGCTAATCGCAAAATTTTTAGGGGGGCTGAGTAGTCATTTTAGGTGGGCTATAACTTCTAGTCTTACATTGAGATATTTGTTTTGATGAAAAGCGTTGTGCAGTTCATTTTCTTCATTGCAGTTCTGCAGCTTTGTGCAAGATATCGGTTGTCATGCTAACTTCTAGTATTATTCAAATAGAGAATAAATTCATCAGTAAAAGTCAAATGAATTACATGTGAGTGAATAAAGCAAATTAAATACAGTGTTGCATGAATGAATCTGCAAGAGAACAAGAGAAAGTAGAGGACAGAAGTGATGGTGCTGATGAAGAAAACATGATAGCTTTCTGTTATAAATGGGTGGATATTATTTTACTCCAGGTGTCACCAATTCCATCAACTCTAGTTGGTGTAAAATGTGCAGAAATTAATGATTAACTCACTGTAGGAAGGGTTAAAAATAGCACTGGGTAATTTTGGATGTGCCCTTTAAATGTCTTTGTGGATAAAAGTAAAATCAAAATGTACAATTTTGCATCTGGACTTAAAGTATTTTGTCCCTTCTTGCTTTTCCAGCTATTATATGTATTTTGCTTATGCAGAAGTCTAAAATAAGCTAAAGTGCTAAATTTAGATGCCCTTCAGAGCTATAAATAGCACCCAGAAAAACATTTCAATAATGTTCTGCATGTGAGAACAACGATAAGTTCAGAAGTTTAGGTATTACGTAGATGTGACAGGATCAAAAATGCTGATGAAATAGAATGTAGAAATACAATTCTGCATTTACATATAGAACAAGACAAAATAACATTCAAATATTTGTTTGCCATAAGGTCATTTTGAGGGGTTTTGACTATTTTTGTAGAGCTTTAATTTTTATTTATTTATATTATATTTATGGTTACCTGCATTCATTTGAATACATTTTAAATGTAGTATGCTAAATATATAATACATATTTAGTGCCATTAAATGTCTTTTAGCCATTTAAAAATAAAAAGTGCAAACGGCATGATTCATGCAATCAACTGAACACTAAAAATGAATAAATGTAATTTATAAATATTTATATGTACTTATTAATGACACTTATCTCGATGTTTGCCTAACCACGTGAGTACTTGAATAACCTTCTAAAATCTTAAAATGCCTGGTCATCTATTAAATTGTAACACAATAAAGGTTCTTCATCAGAAGAAGCTTTAACATCCAAGGAACATTTCCCTTTGCACTAAAGGTTCTTTATAGCAGAAAAAGGTTCTTCAGATCATTCAAATGTTCTTCACACAAAGACAAAATTTATTCTTTTAAATAGACAAGTAGACAGCAACACTGTAAAGAAGGCATTTTGCAGCACACTTCTAGCACGATTAGTGTTTATCTTTGAGGAAATAACTTAAATACCAAGTTTATTTCCATGACAGTTGTTTGAATGTCACACATTTTTGCAACATGGCTAACTCATTTGATAACTTCTCATAAAATGGTTTGAGTCACACAGATCACTTGCGTAGATGTTCTTCTCTCCTTGAACTTTAACTTCAATTTAAGAATAAATTATATTTAGAGGTATCCAGAGCTTCAGAAAGAACCTGATCAACAATTTGCTTGCATCCTTATCCTATAATTTATTCCTGTGATGCAAAGCTGAATTTTCATCAGCCATTACTCCAATCTTCTGTGTCACATGATCCTTCAGAAATCATTCTAATATGCTGATTTAATATCAATATATATATATTTTTTGGAACCTGTGATACTTTTTTCAAGATTCCTGAAAAAAAGTAATCCCAGGATTACATGAAAGGACTTGCATGACTCCTGTCCGATAACCCTGATGTTTTCATACTGATCTCATATATTTTTAACACATGAAATTCCACGCTTATACTGGCACTGTAGTATCTGTGCATAATTCAAATTGTGAGATTCTCTTGTTGCAACTATGAACGAGCCAACCGCCATTAAATCCTAAAAGAAGAAGAACTATGAATGATTGCTAGTATGGCCGTCACTTGTAATGAAATCCTCTGTTCTGAGAGAGTCAAATTCCCTCCCAACTTCCCTAAAAACTGTCTGCAATAACCACTTCATTTGGATAGCTGAGCATCAAATATGACAACATGCACAAAAACAAGGGGATTTCATTTCTAAATTAGATTCGGCGTAAAGAAATTACACATTGGTCACTTTCATTTAAATGTTGTTTCATATGCAAACATTCAATTTAGGCTAATGCTCGCAACAATTCAGTGAGAACGAAACAACAGACTATTTCTTAAGTTCAAAAAAGCCAAACAACATAGAAATATGTTATCTGTCACATGCACTTTTTTCCATGCCATGTGATAGCATTGTGTGAGGCCCAGGCGGAAATGTGTGTCATTTTTTACTTAAAAACTTCCCTCTCCACAGCAAGCTGCTTGCTAAATTGAAAAACTTTCCAAAACATGGCGTGTTTCCAGAGAGCAGTTGAGGTTAATTATATTAGCGAAAATATGCAAAATGTGCAGGTGTGACCTTTAGGTAAAATCATATCACACTGTCAGAAAGCATAAAAATATGGTTGAATCTAAAACAATAAGCTCAATCACACAAAAAAACAGTAACACAGGGACACATTTGAAAATTTACAGAAAACACTTTCCTTTACAGAACAGGAAATGTTACAGTAACAATATAGGTCATTTTAAAATATTTCATTTCCATTTCATTCTTACGTCTTTTTAAATAACTTTTAACATTTATTGTTTTTAAATGTACGTCTTTTCCTTTTGACAATGTTCCCAGCGATTGCAACATTTTCCACAGCTTAAACTATGCCAAATATTTGAATGCAGTCAAATGACTTGCTTTAGCTAATAACTGCCATGTGACATTTAATGGGAAAACAATTTGTTTCAGCCATTACAGTAGCTCGGGAGTGTAAGTATTTTGCACGTCTGAGCTTTATTCACCTGAAGTGTTCTGCAATTCAGAGAAACAAGTTGTCTCCGGCACAGCCTGAAAATCCAGTTCACAAATCATTTAAGTCAAAAGTAAGTGAAAAGTATCGTTCATCGTCATATCACTTTCGGTGCACACAGCAGAGAAATCATTTAAATAGCTTCGACGGAACACTGGTGCTCAAAGTGCTACCGTTCCCACAATAGTTTGACGTGTACAAGTCAACATTCAAACACGGCAGATGAAAAGTTCAAACAAAAATGAACAAAAAATCATATATAAGAATCTGTAAATCCTGGATAAGCACTTTTGGTGCTGTGATCCATTCAGACTATAGAATGAACCTGAATTTGAACTGCTACTGACACAAAAGGCCCCTTCATTCTTAAGAAAGAGGATATATGTTTGTAAAAAGTGGTTGGCGGTTTAAGAAAACCACTTGGTATGCCTTCAGCAAGCCTGGTCTTGCACATTTTTACAAAAAAATAAAAATAAATAAAAAAAAGACAGTCGAGCAACACTTGAAGTACAAGCAACTATTGAGTGCCATAGCTACTCAAATTGCAACTGAATGTTATGACTAGTTCATGTTTATTTATCTACATACTGGGGTAATTACATCCAAACTTTTCAAAATACATCTAAAAGAGGCTCTTTAGCCCTGGTCCGAGAGGTGTGTGGTCATTTTGTACAGACAGTTCCTCAAAAAAAAAAAATACATACATACATACATAATGTTTTATAATGAATAATACATTTTCCAGACTTGTTAAGCTAAAACAAATATAAACATAGATTTTCTCATTTAAAATGGCATGATCTGAAGTCCTACGTTAAGTAGGTAACACTGTTTTGCTCTGCCGTCCTAGGCCCATTCCCAAGTCACTTGGAGAGGGTCACATGACCCCTCTTGTCCTGGCAGTGTAAAAAATCGGAAAGTGCAGTCTTTCCTAGATAGAGCCGTTTACATCCTCATTGCTTTTCCTATTGAAATCGAATGGAAATGAGATGGAGAGGCTGAAAACCTATACTAAAAATAGCACAAAAACATTAGGCCATAGCTGTCCAACTGGGGCAGAGCATGACATAATTACAAGGTTTGGGCCAGTAAGGGTCTCTCATTATAGGGATGTTTGTGTGAATGTATTATAATGCTGGCTCAGGTGTCAGTTAACAGCAACCTCTCGCTGCTTTCATCCTTCTGAATTTCCCTTGTCATTTTAAGCCCTTTATTACGGTGTCTCTGAATGGCTTTCCAGATACGACACAGCGCTCCTCCCCTATAGTGGGAAATAAATTAAATATTTTTTATTAATTGCAGACAACTGAAGCTAGCATAATAACTACATGTGTGCACTTCTGGGCCAAAAAAATGGGCCAAACCGGAAAATGGCTAAACTCTAAGCTTCAAATGGACTTAACCACAAATTACTTGCAAGAATTTGGCACATGCATTCCTTAAAAAGCCATTGCTGTCTCAGAAAAGCATCAAAGACAGAACAAAGTTCAATGCATTTCTACCACAGTGAAGCACGGAGGAAGATGTGTTATGATGTGGGGAGCCTTTTCAGCTGCTGGTACTCGTGAGCTGCTTCATTGTGAAAAGTCAAGTAATGCTTTGGAGTATGAAAGAATACTGAAGAATGTGCTTCCCACAATTGAAAACTAGTCTAAAGAGGAATGATCAGATGTTATTTTTCAAAAAGAAAAAATGCTCCTGCCTACACTGCAAAGACAACCAAGAAGTGGCTTGAGAACAAGTCCATCAGGCTCATGTTTTGGCCTGGTCAGAGTCCAGATTTGAACCCCATAAATAATTTTTGGTCTCTCATTAAACCCCAACTAACTGAGAGAATATTTTTCAGCTACTCGTGAACAGTCTGAAGCCATCAATATTGAGTGGAACAACATTGACTCATCTTCCTGTAAACATTAGTGTGCAAGTTTACCCACACAGCTTAAACATGTAAAGAAAACAAAGGGAAAAGCTGTCTAGCACTAAATTACTTTATCTACAGTATTTGCGAAGTTTTTGCTAATTTCCAGACCAGTGATTTGTGGTTAAAATGGTAAAGCATGCACAATTAAAAGTACCATTTTGGCTTGGTCCATTTTTGTTTTGTTTTGTAGTTTATATATATAAATGATGAATATAAAATGTATATAAAGTCTATATAAAGTTGAAATATCCTTTATTATAAATATATTTTACAATAGATTAGATTTAAATAAATGAAAAAAAAACATTCAAAGGTTTGTGGTCAGTAAGTTTTTTTTTTTTAAAGAAATGAAAACTTTTATTCAGCAAGGGTGCATTAAACTGATCAAAAGTCAGAGTAAAAACATAATGTTACTAAAGATTTCAAATAAATGTTGTTCCTTTAAACTTTCTATTCATTAAAGAATCCTGAAAAAAAGGTCACAAATTTAAGCACAACAGTTCAACATTGATAAAATGTTAAAAAGAAATTTTGCATCATGTGACACTGAAAACTGGAGTAATGTCTGCTTTAAAAAAACATTAAAATAGAAAGTTTTCTAAATTTTCCATAATATTACTGTTTTTACTGTATTTTTCATCAAATAAATGCAGTCTTAGTGAGTATAACTTTGACTTCTTTCAAAAACACACCAAATTTTTTGAACTGTAGTGTATATAAATAGTAGAAATATTTTATATTTCAAATAATATTATAAATTTTATATATAATTTCATTTATTCATAATGGTTCCAGTTATTTATTATATTTAATATTATTATAGAAAACAATAATAATAGGTCCAGTTATTTATTTAATTTTATTATACTGTATTTATTCCATTTCAAGTGGCTCACCTGACTAAAAAATTAGGGCCACATTATGCAAAGGAAGAGTATACACAATCAATCACTCATTTACAAATTAAGCCCTCACCTAAGCCTCAGGCAGCGCAGGTCTTCTTTTGTAACATCGCAAAGAATGTCGTTGAGCGTAAAATCTTCTTCAACAAACTTGTCAGACACAGACAGAAACCACAAGAACTTGGCATGAATCTTCAGTTTCTTTATTTATGGAAATTTAAAAAAGTGAGTAATTTTCTAATCGTGGGAAAGACACGATATAGACAGTGTTCAGTGTGATATGTTTCACCTTGTCTATGGTGTCAGAGTCGGCACCCTGCTCCTTCAGCCAATCAGTGAGCTTCTTGTCAGGCTTGGGATGTGCGGCAATGTGAAATATAGAGGGGGTTGAGGGCATCTCTGTTGAGGGCAAAGGACGGATGTAGGAATATTAAAGCACAGATGCTAAGATCTATCTAGACAGCATTTCAAGACTCACATTTGCATTTGAAATTAGTCACTTATTGGGCTGTCATTTCGAAAGTTGGTAGGAAGGTAGCAGACATTATGGCGGCTCACTAGTTTTCTTTTAACAGAACTTGTATTTGTTTTGTCCTATAAACTGGTTGCAAACAACTCTAAAGTTCAGAACAGGACACTGGAAATCAGAAAGAGGTGAGTTGACACTTTCTCTATTACCTTAGCATACAGACATGCATGTGATTTCAGTGTAAATAAAGAGAGTGAATGGCTTATAAGTGAGTCTAAATCAATAAATGTGTGTGATTTAGCACAACTAACCTGCAGAAGGCTGTTGTCTGATCCTGATAAGCTCAATGTCGTGTACCCGCTGTTGGAGAGTTTGTCTCAGTACCTGCTGATATTCTCTCTCCTTCTGTACCAGTTCTTCAAGCAGCCTGAAGAGTAACATTGAAACACTCTCCCTCAAACTACTGAAGCATTAAGATCACATTTCACTGACTAAATCCAACAAGAAAAGACAAAACGTCATAAAACTATTAAGCTCTACATTCAGAATGCAAAATTAAAACGGGAGGCTGTTTTATCTTGTATATAATGTGCAAAGAGTAACAATGACATGTGCTGTTTTTCACAAAAATACAAAGTAAAACAAGTAAAATACACAGTACAGTAAGTTTATTTTGAGAAATTAAGTATTCATTTACTGTATTATTCAGAAAAGTGTCAAGTGTCATCAAAAGTGACAAAGACATTTCTGTTTAAAGTAAATGCTGTTCTTTTGTACTTTTTATTTATCAAATATTTTTGAAAATATTGAACTGTCATGTATATTTGTAGTAAATAATGTGAAACAGATCCATGACTGGGAACAAATATTTAGTATATTTAGCTAATATTTTGAGTATTTTTTTTCCATTCACTCACCATTGGAAAGGGTGGCAAAAGCGTATTTTGTGTACGGTTTATATTTAACTGCCTTAAATAGAATGATGGTAAGTGTTTTTTTTAAGGAATCATAATGTGTACCTGCTGGTTTCCTGTTTGAGGCGTCCAAGCTGGGCTCCCAGCGGGTGCTGTGGCCGCTGAGCCTCATGGGATATGACTGAACTGAGGGTGCTGACTCCAGACGTGAGGGCTTGATCTTCCTGGGTCGTACGTGCCACTGATCCAAAGTCCCCATCATCCTCTTCATCAACTTCATCTGCGTCCTTATCTGCACCCTCACTTTCCGATGCAGGCCCAAAATGTGTCAGTAGCTCTAGAAGAGAGACAGATGCAAAATGAATCACACAGTTTCTTTGATGTTCCTCAGAACAGCAAGTCCTCTGGTTTCTAATTTTCCTTCCCTCTCTCTCTCTCTCTCTCTCTCTCTCTCTCTCTCTCTCTCTCTCTCTCACACACACAGGGTGCTGTGGCCGCTGAGCCTCATGGGATATGACTGAACTGAGGGTGCTGACTCCAGATGTGAGGGCTTGATCTTCCTGCGTCGTACGTGCCACTGATCCAAAGTCCCCATCATCCTCTTCATCTACGTCATCTGCGTCCTTATCTGCACCTTCACTTTCTGATGCAGGCCCGAAATGTGTCTGCAACTCTAGACAGATGCAAAAGCATCAGAACAACAAGTTTTCTGTTTTCTCTATTTCTGTCCCTCTTTCACACATTCACACCTGGAATTAAAATCGTAACAGCTGCCTGTACAGCCCGTCTGATGATGTTGTCCATGGCAAACATCCAGTGTGGTTTAATGTGGTGGTTCCTCAACACTTTATTTACCTGAAACAAACAGTGATGAAAGAAGAATTTTAATCTCATCTCTTTTAAACCAAACACAGGAGCATTTATTTGAAAAATAATTTTTTATAACATTATAAATGTCTTTACTGCGTGCTTGCTGAACAAAAGTATTCATTTATTTATAAAAAACAAATCTTCCTGATCTCAAACTTACTAATGTAAGTTATGTACTAAATGTATGTCCAACATCGGTATTTAAGGTTTTAAAAATGTATATTGCAGCATAAATAGGATTTTATCAATAGTGGATCATGCCTGGGTAGGAAACTGAGATTGTATATTGAACAGTAGCAGTCGAGAACAATACTATTTATACTGCAGTCAACTCACAGAGTCCTGGAAACCAAACAGAACCAGCTGGATCTGGTTGATTGATGTGCTGTCGAAGTCCAGGTCCAGCTTGAGTTTTGAGATAGTCATTGCCATGACACGTCGCTCAGGGCAACGTATAAAGTCCCGTAAGATGCAGATGATCTGTTTAATGTGGTCCACTGACAACTTCAGCTCCTCCTGACCCTAAAAGACAAGGACACAATCCTCACTGTATGATTCAGTCCATACACCACTAACACACAATCAGATACGCAGGGATACACACCTGGATGTGGTTCTCCATGAGGTTGGACGTCACCTTATCCTGGTCCTCATTGAGGACCTTGTAGAGTATGGCACGTCTTTCACTGTCTTTCTTCAGCAGGAAGAGGCCAGAGTCGCTGTTCTCAGAGGAGGCTGGAGAGCTGCGGTCTTCTGCTGTAGGACTCTCATCTGGAACACTGAATCACACACATTTCACACTGATTCACTAAGAAAATATGAATCTTAATAGCTTTATGCAGATGTAACATTATGTACAATGCAATATTGTTCAAAAGTTTGGAGTCGTTACTTTTTCAATGTTTCGGAAAGATGTCTCTTATCCTCACCAAGGCTGCATTTATTTAATCAATAATACGGTAAAAAAAGAGTAATAGTGTGAAATATTATTACAATTTAAAATAACTGTTAATATATAACTAAATTTAAAACTTTGAGTAAATATAATATATATATATATATATAAAATAAATACATAAAATATATTACATATTATTATTTAAAAATGTAATTTATTCCTGTGATGGCAAAGATCAATTTTCAGCATCATTACTTCACAAATCATTCTAATATGCTGATTTGCTGCTCAATAAACATTTCTTATCAATGTTGAAAACGGTTGTGCTGTTTTTTTTCAGGATTATTTGATGAACAAATTTCAAAAGAATATATATATTTATTTGATGTAGAAATCTGCAGATACAATATAGTAGTCATTCAGTACCATGTTTTATCATCTGATGCCATCACTGTATCATGCACCTTTTTATATTTTATTTTTTAAGGCAGCACTATAAAATAAAATAAAAATCACAATCTCTGCTTGGATTTTACAAAACAAAAACAAAACAAATATTAAATTAAAGTAGAAAGGTGGTTATATTAAGGTGTGTTTCACTCATAGGTGAGTTCTCATACTTGTTGAGCTTTTAAATGTCAGTTTAGGCAAATTAACTAACTTTGAATTTAACCGTGTTAAACATTTAATTCACTCAAATATCAGTGTTAACTATGGAACGATATTCCATAACTTTAGCAGCCAAAGTATATATAAATCTGGAGTGGTGATTAAAAAACATGATTTCATTTGAGGAAAGAGGAAACGTGGTTAATGTGTGACAGCCCTGTAATTTGGTGTGTGTGTTGAAACCGAGGTCAAGAAGTGGTCTGTAAAGTCTTCATGGGATTATTTTATGAGCAACCAGAGAGTACCTGCTGTAAAAGGCATTATCTCATTACACACACGTACATACACCTGCCCAGAAACCACGGCCCAGCACACCTGTCTCCTCATTCCACCGCGTTAATTAAACAGCGTTTCCAAGGAGTCGACTAGCTGTCAGGACAGGCCTCAGCGCTTCATGCCCAGGAAGTTGATTTACTGTTGGTCTGAGAGCTGAAGCGGCCGCGGATTCTCAAGCTCCATAAACACAGTCACGTCATTAACATTCCAGATGCTAATCCAACACTCACATAAGCACATACATATACACACTTTCAGCTATGGCTGACCACTGCGTGACCTAAACTCGTCTGGACCGGTTAGCGGACCCTTGTTAGTCTTAATGAGGGCTCTGTATTCACCTTAGTGCTCATCTTCTGAGCTCACCTGAGGAAGTTTGAGTTGGGTGGTTTGATGAGGTTCTCTGAGCTAGAGCGTTTTTTCTTTTCAAAGAACACGTCTTGTTTGGAGTCGCAGTCGGGAGACACAGAGCCTGGTTCACTGCTGCTGCTCCCTGCGGCCTCCGTCTGCAGCTGTACTGGCAATGAAACACTGCGGATGTAGTCTAAAGGGAGGAAAACACCAACACGCATGGTCATGTGTTTACACACACATATGCACTTAAAGACAATCATTCAGACAGACTAAAGTTTCACAGCATTTTTGGCTTTTGTTTCCCCCCTGAAGTTTAAATCTTTGAAGAAATATTAACACAAAATATCTTTTTTTTTTTTTTAAATAAAAGTCAAGTGTTATATTATTAATTAATTTTACACATTTTATTTTTAGAATTAAACATTATATTAGAGCTGCCAATGCAAAATGTTCATTTTCTGTTATTAATTATAAAAAAGAACAGTAAATCATGCCTCCTATAGGCCAAAAATAGACTTAAGGTCAATGATATGGAAATAAAACCAACAATATATTCACTTCTAAAGTCACATTTTGTAATGCCTGTTCAGTGAGAAACTATAAATACCTTAAATAAATGTCTTAAATATATTTTCATTAGGGTTTTTAAATCAGATAATATTGTTATATGAGATTAATTAAGTGGATTAATTAAAACAATACAATCTTTTAATTGACAGTCCCAATTTAATTTAACCTGCTAGCATTCCACTGTATCACCCACAGTACACTGCGTGTTTTATGCGTTTTAGGCTATTTTTACAGGAATGCTAAGGGGTTAATTTAATATACTATGGCCTGGTTTCACGGACAGGGCTTAGACTAAACCAGGATTAGGCCATAGTTCAGTTAAGACATTTAAGTAATTTTTCATAAACATGCCTTAGAAAACACATTACTGGTGTGCATCTTGAGCCAAAACAAAGGCACTGATATATTTTAAGATCAGTCAGTGCAAGTTTCTTTCAGTTGACACAGCTCAGGCATTTTAGTCTGGGACTAGGCTTAAGCCTTGTCTGTGAAACCGGGGGTAAATATTTCTATCACAATATATAATAGCACAATATGGTAACATTTTACAATAAGATTTGATTTGTTATTATTTGTCAGCTACAACAGTGAATATGAACTAACAATGAAAAATATTTTTAAAGCATTAAATAATCTAAGTTGATGTTAATTTCAACATTTACGAATAAATTATTAAAATCAAAAGTTGTATTTGTTCATATAATGGACCTGAGCTAACAAGAACTAGCAATGAACAGTTTTATTAAGTAATGTTATCAAAGATGAATAAATACTGAAACAAATGTATTGTTCAACTAACATTAACTAATGGAACCTTATTGTAAAGTGTTACCCACAATGTTATAGATTTTTTGAACTCGTCCAAAAAGCTTCTACAGTAAGTTAAAACACTGGAACCAAATTAATAGTAAACCACAGAGAAGAGAAGGCAAATCAAAAATCAAGAGAATGAAGAAAAAGATATGGCGCAAAGAACCAATGAGAGCACACAAGGAGCACACACTCAGCACCATCACCAGTAACCAGCAAAACACCAATGATTATGAGCTTATGATCCTCAAGAACACACAAGGATACATAGATGGTGGATACAAACCTTGCCACACTGTTACACAGAGAATCCAAGCCAAAGCAGCCGATTGGATGGCATTAAGGAAGAAGGAGATATTGATTTATTAATATTTAGCCTGTACTATAATGTCTAATGAACAAAACTGGGAATACACCAGGCCTATAAAGCTATTTCTTTGCTCCAAATCCTAGCGAGTTGTCTCTGGAGGCATCACATGTGTATTTCCAGATACAAAAGCTGTTCCAAATTATACCTGAACCTAAGAGGAGACTTGAATGTTGATTATAAACTACTGTTCAAAAGTTTAGGGTCAGTAAGATTTTTTTTTTTTAAAGAAATTAATACTTTTATTCAGCAAAGATGCATTAAATTAATCTAAAGTGACCGTAAATACATTTAAAGTGTTACAAAAGATTTATATTTCAAACAAATGCTGTTCTTTTGAACTTTCTATTCATCAAATAATCCTGAAAAAAGTTTTATCACTGCATTCACAAAAATATTTGGCAGCACAACTATCCAAATCCTAGCGAGTTGTCTCTGGAGGCATCACATGTGTATTTCCAGATACAAACGCTGTTCCAAATTATACCTGAACCTAAGAGGAGACTTGAATGTTGATTATAAACTACTGTTCAAAAGTTTAGGGTCAGTAAGATTTTTTTTTTTAAAGAAATTAATACTTTTATTCAGCAAAGATGCATTAAATTAATCTAAAGTGACCGTAAATACATTTAAAGTGTTACAAAAGATTTATATTTCAAACAAATGCTGTTCTTTTGAACTTTCTATTCATCAAATAATCCTGAAAAAAGTTTTATCACTGCATTCACAAAAATATTTGGCAGCACAACTATTTCAATATTAAATTTCTTGAGCAGCACATCAGCATATTATAATGATTTCAGAAGGATCAATGTGACACTGAAAACTGGAGTAATGATGCTGAAAATTCAGCTTTGCATCACAGAAATACATTACATTTAAAAAAAATATTAAAATAAAAAAGGTTATTTTAAATTCACAATATTACAGTTTTTACTGCATTTTTAGCCTTGGTGAGCATCAGAGACTTCTTTCAGAAACATTAAAAAACCTTACTGACCCCAAACTTTTAAATGGAAATGCAAACATATAACTTCTATTTAATTTGAAAACAAAAAAAATTAATAAAAATAGGTCAGTGTCATTAAAAGGTTTAACCAAATACATTAAAAATGTCACCAAATATCTGTGTGGGTTGTATATTTTTACACTTACTAGAATATCAAGCCATTAGCTTAGCAACACGCTAACATCAAACTATAGTACGATTCTGTGTAAAAAGCTATTTAGGTTGCTCACTATGCTCACTATGTAGAGAGTTTTTCAAATCAATCAGTTTGGATAGCAGTAAGCAGCTCACTAGAAATTGGATCAGAGCTTGTCACTCACTAACATTCCTCTGACAATGTCAAAGAGAAATCGTGAAAGTTTTCTGAGAAAGCAGAGTGCATGTTTGTGTGAAACACCACACCCTGAGAATGCTTTTCATGGACAGCGGGATAGCTGACATGTGCGGCTGGATGGAAACCATTTGTGAAGGTAGTGTGAGGTCTTATTGTTGATTTTCCCAGGTCCTGTTGTTCCTACTCATCTTTTGTGTAAATTCAATCTGGACTGTAACCAGCCAGCTGAGGGCAGTTTGGACCTGTTGCGAGTATCCTAGACAGCGGCGAGATGCAGGCATGCTGGGCTATGGGTTGGGGGGGGGGGGGGGGGGG